GGGTCCCTGTGCTGAGAAACTCCTAGACCAGGGGTAGACTGATGACAGGGACCTTCCTCCAGAGCCGACTAAGAGAGAAAGCCTTCGCTAGAGCTGATGCCCTGAATTTGGACTTCTAGCCTACTAGACTGTGAGAGAATAAATTTCTCTTTGTTAAAGCCATCCACTTGTGGTATTTCTGTTATAGCAGCACGAGATGACTTAGACACAGCCTTTTGTTGGAGCTGCTTTACGTCATCCACCAGTGTCTGATTCTCCCCATTTCTATTCCCAGAAAGGGTAAACAGTAACTCTTCTGATGAATACAAGTGCTGCTACCCACAGCCAGGGACCTCAGCATGCCTCATGTCTCACAAGGGCTCATCTGGATGGACGCAGCCACTCGCATGGTGATCTGAAGCACCTCTGGGCCTCGCATCTGCACTGCCAACCCCGGATCTGCTGCTGATGGCTGTGGCTGCAGCTGCACATGCCGCAAGAGAGCTCTGCTGCCCTCAGGGCAGTGGGGAAGGTGGGCAGAGCAGGGAAAGCGCCTGCTGTACCAGCTGCCATCTTAGCCCCCTTCCACTCCTTCAGGCATCGTTCACCTCTGCACGCCAGTTTAATCCCCCTTTTCTGCTCTTCCTTATCTGATTATTATCTGCAAATGCCAACTATCTTATGTCTTCCTGACTTAATAATAGATACCAGTTACTTAGCATTCACAATGGGCCACGTGCCTCCTTTAAAAGATAGTTACTGTTAAGTGGATCCCAACTCATAGCAGCCCCATGTGTGCCAGAGTAGAACTGTGCCCCATAGAGTTTTCAATGGCTGATTTTTCAGTAGATCACCAGGTCTTTCTCCTGAGGCACCTTCTGGGTGAACTCGAATCTTCAATCTTTCAGTTAGCAGCCAAGCACGCGTTTGTACCACCCAGGGACTCCGTATCCCGTTTAGGCCTCACCAAGATGAGGTAGGAACTATTATCATCCCACTTTACAGATGAGGAAATTAAGGTTTAGGAAGTTTCCATCACCTGCTAAAAATTACACTACTAGAATCTCATGGGATCAGGATTTAAATTTACGTCTAATCCCATAGCCCAAACTCTTAACTGCTTTGTTATATTGAATATTTTATAGTCTCTCTTTTTAATTTTAAAATAACTTATGTTCTAGAGCAAAAGTAGAACAGGAGTCCTGTCTGAAGTTAAGGTGAGGCTCCTGCTTCTAACACAACCAGGGTCTGAGCAGTTCACAGCTCAAGGAGATATTTCAGGGACAGTTAACTCTTTGTCTAATGTATCAGGGCAGGGTGGGAGGGTGAGCGGGTAAAGTTGCACCAACTGCTGATGGCTTAATTCACTATGTAAATTAAATTTCATCTGTTTCCCGGCTGAAATGCTTGAAGTGTGGCACAGACTGAAAGTTGCTTATCGAACATTCATTCTCTTCTTTCTTACTAACAGAACCTGGGCTTTATTCCAGGTGTCAATGTACCCAGCTAAAAGACTACATTTCCCAGACTTCCTTGCAGCAAAGTGTGACTAATAAATCACCCGGTTGGCTTTCCAGGAAAGGCTCTTCAAAGGGGGCTGGCTCTGCTGGGAGGCTTGCTCTTTTCCCACCATCCTCCTCCTTCCCCCCAGAACACACTGCTGATTGGGTAACAAAGTGAACTTGAGGCCACGCATTAAATCTGTCAGGCTGAACGACAGGAGCCTGGGTCCACAGAGAAACCCGAGACTGCCTGCTCCACACACGCCACCAAGCTGAATCCTCCCTGGTCCACACCACGAGACAGAGCCTCAGCCCCGCCCCGGTCCACACCACGAGACAGAGCCTCAGCCCCACCCTGGATGAAACAAAGCCTCAGCCCCACACTGGTCCACGCCACGAGACAAAGCCTCAGCCCCACACTGGTCCACACCACGAAACAAAGCCTCAGCCCCACCCTGGATGAAACAAAGCCTCAGCCCCACCCTGGTCCACGCCACGAGACAAAGCCTCAGCCTCACACTGGTCCACGCCACGAGATAAAGCCTCAGCCCCACCCTGGTCCACACTATGAGACAAAGCCTCAGCCGTACATTGCCTGAACTGCCTCTAAAGCTTTCAAGACAATTTAACAATCTCCTGTGAAATTCTTCCTTAGGGCAGATTAGCTCATTCATCTGGAATAACTAAAAGCATCGTGGTCTTGTGTTTAAGAAAACCTCTATGCATTTTTAATCTGTTCAGAAGGTGGAGGCTCCAAAGTGATCAGTCTTGGTCGCTAATGACAAGTAAAACGTTTTTTCTTTTTAAAAATTCTTGCTTTAGAAGGGAGATGACACCAGAATCCCTCATTTGTATGGCAGTACTTAAACAAGGTAGCTGAACGCAGCCTTCACATGGAGTAAAAGGCCAGCCCCAAGTATAAATCGGCAGGCTATACAACCCATTTAGTAGAGTATGGTGAAAAGTTGGAAATTCACCCTTCTAGAAAACATAGACAACAGAAGGACACGGAAATGTATTTTAAAACACTAAAGCAAGGAAGCTTGCTATCACTTGACAGATTAAAAAAAAAAAAAGTTGCCATGGAGTTATTTCCGACTCATGGTGAGCCCATGTGTGTCAGAGCAGAACTGTGCTCCATAGGGTTTTCAGTGGCTGATTTTTCTGATGTAGATCACCAAGCCTTTCTTCCAAAGCACCTCTGGTTGACTTGAACCTCCAACCTTTCAGTCAGCAGCCAAGCACAGGAACCCAGCGACTCCTACTTGACACTTTTCTAAATAACATGCTTCGGAGTACTGACTTAGGTGTGATGAACATTACTACCTTGCACTATTGTTTTCATTGTATTTTTCACACCGATATTATCTTGATCATCTTGTCTTGTTCATCACTCTATCCCTAGAACCTAGAATAATAGCATCCGGCACAAAATCAATGCTCAGCAGACATGAACACTCCCCCTCATTATCTGCTGTCACAGCCCCTAACTAGACTCTTGCCTCTAGCTCTGTCCCCTCCCCAGCCACCCTTCATCCCACTGCAGCCAAGTGGGCCTTTGAAAATGCACAACTTACTGTATTTCTGTCGATGGTTCTCCATCTTCCTCAGGGTAAGGCCACGAAATCTTTGGCAGGCATTAAAGCCCTGCATGGCATGGCCTTTGCATATGCTTCCAGCTTCACTGTTCAACACCCCCCCCGCCCTTCTCTGCATCCCAGCCTTGCTGAGTACTGCACGTGCTCACGCTTGCCCTTTGCACACGTCCCCCCTTCCCTTGTGGATAAACTCTACTCAGGTTCAGTTTTCAGCTCAGATGTTTATTCCTCCTGGAAGCCTTCCTGGGGCGAGGCTAGGTGTCTTTCCTGTGTCCCTCCATCACCCTCTAGTATTTGTGTCACTGGTGGATCTAACTGCACTACAGGATTTTAACTCCACTTTTCTGTGCTTTCCGGCCGTCTGTAAGCTCCAGGAGGCCAAGGACCCTGTTTTATCTAAGTGCTTGGCACATAGTGGGCACTTAAAAAGCCTCATGATGAATAAAGGTGCCGCACCACAATATAGTGTTTTCTGCATTTAAAACACCCAAGTCTGTTTATTAAACTAAAGGACTCTTGCACAAGCCAATATTTAGCATGAAGCCCTCTGCACTTTTCTAAGCTGGAAGGAAGCATAGCTAAGAAAACCCAAGATTCCCTGAGACACAGGAGCTCAGTGATTAGCAGCTTGAGATTAGACAGTATTTTAATGTTTACAAATAGATTACATTTGCTAGCGTAGGAGACTCACAGGAGCCTAAGAAACATTCCACTGTTACAACGGAAGTTTTGTTTGGAAGAAAGAGTATTTTTCATCATACATGTATTGACAGTGATCTCAAAGCAATGTTGTGAATGGATCATTGTATCATTGCCATCACTGTCCCTTATTTTGGTTTTTTGAACTGTGGATCTCTACCCATTAGTGGGTCGTGACATCAACTGAGTCTTGATAAGCATTAAGACAAATATTAGAAGAAATAGAAACTATCAGAGTGCACCGTACATTATAAGCATCGGATATTGTTTTGTAAAACTAGTTTCATGACTATAAACTTTATGTGTATACAGGATTATGATATGAAAGTTCTTACTGGATTCCCAAGTGAAAGCTAGGCAAGCCTGTCCTATGAGAAGTGAGATTTCTGTTTGTGGGGATACTGTTTATTACTAAGCCCCTCTACTGGGAAGGGGGAGGGGTATCACCAAAGCCCCTCTGCCGGGAAGGGGGAGGGCTATCACCAAAACCCCTCTGCCGGGAAGGGGGAGGGCTATCACCAAAACCCCTCTGCCGGGAAGGCGGAGGGCTATCACCAAAACCCCTCTGCTGGTAAAGGGGGAGGGCTATCAGCAACTGTTTTGTTTCCTATTAGTCCTATTTTGCCACTACAAAAATCCCTTATTTTGCATGTTTGGTGTTCATCCTTCCTTGTTTGGTGGGGAGGGGTGGAAAGTCATTTTGCCATGCTGCAAATACAAGATTTGCTCAATTACCTGGATGCTTCAAGAAATACAGATTCTCTAATAACTATTCTAGAAGAGTTCAAAGTACACTAAACATTTAACTTTTCTTGGTAACTCAGGTCTTAATCATCAAGAAAACAGTAGATTTTGTTCAGTACATGCGATCCTTACCTGACACTTTTAAGAGGGAGGATATCTCATCAAATAAGAATCCAAGAGGCTTCTATAAAGAAAATCAGTCTTCACAGGCCTGCCAGGCCTCTCCTATACCAACTGCTCTGCAATTGTGAACCAGGTCTAAGACCCACACTGGGGACCCACGGTGGCTCCCAATACGTAGGAAACATTCTAGAATCTCAGACCAGGATGGGTCTCTGTCTAGAGATGTACACAAAAGGAAATGAATTCTTGGTTTCCAGGACCTTAGCTCATCTGGCTGAGACAGACCACAGCTCGGCCTGCTTCTCTCTGGCAGTGCTGTGTGCACCCCCCCGCCAGCAGCCCGGGCGGAGAGCTGTGCTCGGGCTCCTCTAGCTGCCTCCACTGCGGTGGCAACAGGCAGGGTCTTGGCCACCCACCGGATGGGCGTGAGGGCACAGCAGCCCGGCCACACTAGTCGAAATCCCCTCCTTAGGAACTTGGGATGGTGCACAGCCGCCTCCTCCTCGCCAGCTAGTGGCCCAGAAACGGACGATGGTGACACTGATACTTCAGTTCTTTACATGAGGCTTCTAGCAAATACGGGCCACAGTTTTCTCTTCCCAAGCTATCTTGGCACCTTGCTACTCTCTCCCTTAGACCTCTGTCACCTTGCACATTTATACAGACTGGTTCCACAAAACACTTTTTAAATGTGCATTTCTTTAATTTTTAAAAATATATACAGGAAAAGCCATGTGTTTTACATAGGAATACACAGATTAACAACACATTTCTTAGTTTTCCAAAACTCTGTATTATATCAGTCTGAAATTTAGAAATTAAATATATCAGAATTTTTTAAGTTAAAATGAAATCCCTGAAAACTACTGGATATGCTGGACTTTTTCTACAAATGAATAGAGAATATGAATATGGTTTGTGTTAAATAAGGTTTATTATTAGCTTTATTGCCTAGTCTCTACGATGCAACTTTATTGTGCCTTTGCAAACAGGATACATTTTTTTTTTAAAAAAACTGATCAAAATTTTCCATACATATAGCTCTATATGATAGATTACAGTGCAACACTATTCTTGTTACGTAATTATAGAAACACTACAGAACCCAAGAACACAGGGTAAGCAAAAAGAAATACAATCCTGAGCCATCTGAACAAGATGATTTGATGAATCCTTTTAGAGCAAATTTAGAAAACACAGAAGTGGGAAAAAAACCACACACGACACTGCTGTCACGAGCAAAACCAGGCAGACACCTGGTCCCCCCCACACGCACGCACACACGCACACACACGCCGTGTTCTTCTCCTGCTTCCCGCCCATCCCGTACATTCCATCCCAGCCTTTCCCGAAAGATCAGGCACTAAATCCTAGTGAAGCCCACATCTGCCTGGCTGGAGAATATTAAGTGACCCTACAATAAGTGTGCAGGTACTCATCCATAACATGAGACAAAGCATGGGCTCTAAGCCAATTCCAGCTGCTCCTGCCTCTTTGGAAGTAACTGGAACATATGTTCACTACACTGGAAACCACGTGGGAAATGTCCCGAAAACAAAATTTTCTCTTCCTATGTCTTGAAGTAAAATGACCCTAAAAGTAATTGCCTCATCTGCTATTAAAATACATTTGTCATTCTGCCTATTTTTGGTATCTATTTAATTACAGTTCAGTAAGAACAGTTCATGAAGCTTGTACCTGTTTATGGTAAACACTGTCAATGGCACCACATAAAGCTGCCACAGCTGGACAGGCCCACGCAGCACAAACCTCACGCGTGTTCCTTGCTGACCTTCCCTCGAGACCACAGCACTCCAGTGTTACCAAAGACAATGTACACAGAGTTAAGTGATGACAGGTATTTGGTCTGTGTCCTCACTTTACATGTCTTAGTGATGAAACTAACCAAACCGTGCCTCCACCCTTCCCTGAAAATAACCTGAGTCAGCTGACTAACCAGACCGACCAGCTCGGCTATCAGTCCACTTAATCAGAGGTTGAGCTGGAAAACCAGAGGGCTAATGAAGTCCACCGGCAGTTTGTCTTGTGCAGATAACCAAGAGTTCTTGGTTTTTGCAATATCCACTGCCCCACGGCTGAAACCACCAAGGTGGCAATAACTCACAGCATAAAGAATGCTGACCTTACGCTGCGGAGACCGTGAGACCACCTGGAGAGAAAAGAGGATCCTCTTTCCCACAGTTCAGTGTGGGGTTTAGTGTCTGTACACGTTAGCTGCTACAGAAAAATCCAAAGACTGAATTCATAACTTTCTTATTTTCAACTAAATGCTCACACACTCAAAAAATACTCACACATCCTATGAATATGAGGTGGCCCTTTTCTTTAAAATTTTTAAAATTAAGAGGCACCAATACCCGTTCATTTATGTATAGAAATTTCATATAATCACCACTAAAACAAGAGAAATGGCATCTGTGATAATCACACAGAGGAGAAAAAGATCGAAAGACAACCTTAGCCGCAGATGTTTCGGATGAGTCAGAACCTAAGGATTTGACAATAAAGTTTTAATGGTTTAGCATAGTCCCATGGCCTTTGTCCACAGCTGATACATGGAAATGGTTCCCAAAGAAAACTAAGAAACCATTCTGAAATTCTGCTTTCAGTTGACTGTAAAAACCTTGGCTGTATCATGACCTTTTACAAGGGGAGGCAAAGACAGACATACGGCACCTTCCCGCACTGCTGAAGGAGCATCAGTGACGACACGGTCCTAACCATCTGCCAAGGTGTTCCTACAACAGGAAGGACAGTAGGTTGTATTTCAGCATCTTTGGTTAAGGTCTGGCCCTTCAAATCCATCTCTCCTTCACCTTTAGTCTCCAAAGAATTTTCAGCCCATGCACTTAAAGAATGTCAAATGATGCCATTTTCCGTATTGTCAGATCAACAGAATTTCAATTTTTTGGCCCTAACCCTGTCTGACTGGACAACAGGGACCTTTGCAGAGGAAGGTGTAAAATCAAATGCTTCAGGTAAAGCATATTCTTTAACTGTTCATGTTCAGTTAAAGGAAGATTCATGAGCTACACAGAAAACTGTCAACAGGATTCCCACACTGGGAAAGGGACAAAGCAGCTCTGGCTTGGTCCTTGGAAGTGGCCTGAGCAAACTGGGTCAAGTGTCTGGCCTGAAAATATCATCACCAGCCTCTACCTAGAGCAAGGTCTGTACTGTGCAAACCTTATGTGAAAGCTAAATGTTGTGTAGGTGTTTATGTGATAAAATTAGAATAAAGCTAAATTTGGTGTAGGGAGAAAAGGGTAAAAAAGACGACACTCTGGGTTGTAATTCAAAGGGAAAAAAAAAATATACACTAAAACAGGTTTTATACAATCAGCCAAAGTATTGCCTGGAATTCTCTATCTTCTCTTTCGGAGGCCAAGGAGCTTCCCTATGCCCTCTTCCTCCACTGCTTTAGTGGAGAGGAAGAGAACTTTATAGAAGGTTCCAACTGTGAAGCAGGAACATGGGGCAGGTCTGTGAGGTCAGACTGAGGACGGACAAAGCCAAGCACTAGGAACCAGGCCAATCAAGATTCCTGGCTCACTCACACAGCACACAGCAGCCCTCAACTGAAGCCTGGCCACACACAGCAACACCTTTTCTTTCACAAATGAATCACAGCTCTCCCAAGTCAACATTTCAGGATAAACCATTCAGGCTGGTAAACTCTTGCAAATGCTGCCAATTTCCAATGAGCTTAGCACCAAATCTGTTATACCCCTCCCCCCCACAAAGTCAATCTGTAGTTTAAAATGTGAAATGTCAACTTCTCTTTGTTTCTGTGTTTTCGTCCTTCTTCGTTTTCTCACGAAGGTTTTCTTATGTTGATGTTCCATTCCATGTCAGATGAAATAAAAGTTTTAAAATATTTGGTGATTTCTGTATAATATTCTTCTCATAAGGAAGCAACCTCATGAATTTAAGTCAGAATTATGTCCACAGAAGTCTTTTCCATGTAGTTCATCATACAGAGAAAGACTCTTACACATGGCTATTTCTGGACAGTGCATTAAACAAAGATACCTTACGAGAGAAAAGATCATTATCTGTATCCATTAGAACAATATACAGATTCACAGTCAATGAGATGATACACCTTGCAGAAGAGAGGCATTGAATATAACAGTATACTATTCAAATACAAAAACAGCAATAAACATATTTTGCACTACAGAAAATTGGCTAGCTTCTAACTTTAAGGATTTAAAGTGATGAGACGGGTAACTGCGTTTTAGGACTGGAACATGCTTCTTGCCTTCCAGATACACAATGTTTGATGCTGGTGCACACACACACATACAACACTGTGTCTGCAATGATATGCAAATGCAATAGACAGCCAAGTCCTGAAGGCAGGTTTCAGAGGATAGTGCTACCAAGACCAAGAGAGCGAAGAGCAACTTAAGAACACTTCTAACTTCAGAATTTCATTTTATTGAACACACTTTTAAAACAAGCACCTCTTAGCAATAAAAGCAAAGAAACAATAGTACTCATTCCAACTCTGGTCTAGCGGAAGACTTGTCACACCAACCTGCCAAATTTCTGATGCAGTTTTAAACAGGCAGCCACTGGGGCTACAAAGAGAGCTCAAATGCAGGAGGTGCTGACTGCTCAGTGAAGAGCTGGAGCAGAGGAAAACAGCAAAAAGCAAATTCGGAATCTATCACAGCTTTCTTCCTTAAGCAAAGAAAAATGCAAAATTAGTTTTATAACCACAATTCCATTTATCAAACTTTTTCTGGATAATTTTCATTTAATTATGTATACATAACAGGAAATAAAACGTGTCCACAAATTTCTCAAAGCTTACAATTATCAAGAAAATGACAAAAGTAAAAGCAGGAGAAATATCAAACACATGACGGGAGGTCAATTTCTGGTTCTGCTCTTAAAAAGTAAAAAAATTACCATGTAGTTAAGTACAAAAACCTGCATTGAATGACGACTGCTGGTGTATTTACTTGATCAGAAACGAAGACCAAGAATGTAATAAAGCCCTATGATAATATTCATCTGGAGCACTCCCCTCAGTGTGTGTACACTAAAACGTTGGCAAAGTTTCTGAAGCATTAGCTTATATAAACACGGGAGTCCTTGGTTAGCTGCTTTAAATGGAACGTTCTCTTCTGAAATGCTCCCACAATTCAGTTTCACTTACAAATTGCAAACTAAAGGTATTTCTTCAAAAAAAAATCTGTTTGGCATCTCCTGGGCTTTGTTCCATTGGGCAATATGGACACTTTAATCTAAAGACAAGGGGAAAAAAAAAAAAAAAAAAAAAACCAAATCAAGGAACAGGATCAGTACCAAGCATTCAATTTTCATCTAGTTATAGAATATCTTTAACAATCTCACACACACACATACTTCTGTGTGTCTGTATTTTGCTTTGAGAATTAACTGAACTTTCCTTTAATATAACTGCCAGTCTCTGAAAGGTCACAGATAAATACTACCCAAGTCAGATCCTGAACTGCAAAGCCCTTCTTTCAGTGGAAATCAGTGAAAAGTGTTTTGTAAAAATTTTCTCAAAATTTGCTTTTGGGGTCTCGAAGTAAATCCAACCTCTCTTCTCCAAAGGCTTAGGCTGTACGTGTGTCAGAATCCACTCAAGGGCAGCAAGTGTGACTGCAGCTGCCAAGCTCACACCAACAACGGCCTGCAATGGCCCTGGAGCAGCGCACCAGCCAGCACGGTGTGAACCAAGGCCAGTGACTGGGCTTCTAGATGGTTACCGTCCCTCTGCACTACCAGGGCTGCTGCAGACTATGGGAAGGGCACAGGCAGCTTCTTTAACAAGCCAGGGCTTCTCATAAAAGAAGGACCTTACCATAAGAAGGTCTGAAATGAACTCCAACAAAAACTTACCTAGCTCTCTAAGCTAGGAATACTGGAAAAAGTCTTCTGAAACTTTTGAGTGTATCATTTATAAAAATTACAAATGTACATGCCCTTTGAATTGCAATTTTAATTCTACAAATGTATACATCAAGGACAGATAAGGCCATTCACTTAAGCACTGTTTATAGAAGCAAAAAAATGGCAACATAAAAGCTCACCAATAGGGAACTGGTTAAATAAATTATCACATTTCCACATGGTAGAATACTCTGCAGCTTTTAAAAAAAGCATGGGGACTCTTCCTGCAGCATATAAAAAGACCTCCAAGACACAGCACTAAATGAGAAAAGCAAAGCGCAGAACAGCGTACAGTACTCCACGTTTGTGTAAAAAACAAGGGACAATGCATCACCTACTCCATGAAATCACTCTGTAAAAACTGGAGTCCTGGTGGTGCAGTGTTCAAGCGTTTGGCTGCTAAACAAAAGGCTGGCAGTTCAAATCTACCCACTGCTCCTTGGAAACCCTATGGGGCAGTTCTACTCTGTCCTATAGGGTCACTATGAGTCAGAATTGACTTGACGGCAGTGGGTTTGGTTTTGGTTTATGTAAAAGCTAATGGCCAGGAAAGGCTTCCACCTATTATGATAAAAAGGTCATGCTTATAAATCTAATCACCAAATCCAGGAATAAATTATAAAGACCGACAAAAGATCAGATCCTACCCACTATGCCAAATGAATAGTTGAGAAATCTGTCTACTTCTAAATCTAGCTATATTTACCTATCCTCATTACTTCTTATCTTCCCACAAAGTTCTAAAAGAAAAGTTTTTAGTAACATTTAAAGTCAGACACTTACTTGCTACCATTAAACATTTTATTCAGGGCATCTCTTGATATAATATGACCACAGACCAATTTCATGGGTGGGTTGTTATCTGTTGTTTGTTGACGAAGAATGGGACAGGCAAATATAGAGTGATACCAGCACTTTTTACCAAGGTCCACTTCAATCTGTTAGAAAAAAAAAAAAAAAAGTAAAAAAGGCTGAAGCTGTATTTCAGGAAGGCATCCACATGTTACAATACACTTTCTGTAGCAAAGAACATTTATCAAATCTACTAACCTGAATGTAATTTTATACAGTACTCTTCTAACTCAAAGATGGGTAAGATACGGATTCAGTGTTACTACTTCATGATCCAAAATTATTTACTGCATTGCTTTTCAGACCAAATTCTGAGGTCTGAGAGTCAGACTCAAAAAGGCAAGGCAATGCTGTAGCAGTCAAATCCTCTTCAGAATTAGTCAGAATATACCTATGCACAAAACCCACTAGAGACCTTGGGACTGTTTTGTAGCACACTTAGCTAGATGATAAAATTCGGGATAACAATTCTTTTAAAGCCAGACTGGAACGGTTGACCTGTGTGAGCTGCAGATCAGAGTTTCCCATCTGATGGTCCAGAGAAATCACCTGCAGCAAGGGCTAAGCCTGTACAGCGGAGCCACCCATGGCACCGTGTAAGGCGTGTCCCTTTGCAGCAAACGAAACAACACGAAGAAATAAAATCACCCAGCACAGTGGCTGGCACATGACAGAGGCTCCGCAAATGTCAGTTCCAGGTTTTCTTTTTCTTCTAAATCTAAATGGCTGTCAACACAAAAGCCCAAATTCCTTCAAGAAAATTGACGAAGTGGAACAATAATCCTGAGAAAAGATCATCACAGATCATCACCTCCCACTGCTTCTTTAGCCTGACACAAAAGCTTTAGGTGACCACTCTGTTCTGGTGTGCAGGTGTCAAAGACGCTCACAGCGTAACCTGGAAGTTGTCAGATCCTTGTGAGCACCTGCCCCAGTGAGTGAAGTGAAGGCTCCAGCTCTGCTCACGCGTGAATGTGCAACAGCTGAGCAGGGGGGCCACATGCAGGGCTGGGAACACAGCTGCACTTTTCATCAAAAGAAAAAGGTTTCTGATAGGAAGCTGGGGCAACCAACTGACTGGTTACCAGCTGGAAGAACAAGGTAATTGCAGATAAACCTGTGCATAGGCATGGCAGCGAGAAAACAAAAAGGCAAATACACGTGTGTCTGTGACAGGCCCCTGACAAGAACAATGGTAACAGGAGTTTTAGATCTGCTGTCAGAGGCCTGCTGGAAAGGCAGAATTTTAACATGCAATGACCTTTGCCACGCCATGTTATAACTGTACAATGTCAGCCCAGTGTACTGGGTACCTGCTATGTGGCCCGTAATATTCTCAGCATACCTATGCTGTCTCTACCCTTTAACATAAAGAGAAATACGGCCCCCATCTGAGAGATGAGCAGACTTGTGGAGAGAAGCTACAGAGTGGGCAAGTGACAGAGCTGTATCACAGCCACAGCGCTTTCCATTACAGCAGTGGACACACAGCCAAGTGGCCACCTGACGATCTCTGGTGTCAAAGGAACAAACTCAATTGTAACACTTAAGTCCTTACTTTAATTGGTATTAGAAAAATATAACCACTGCAAACTCATGATTTCATAAATACAATAAAACTAAATTCAATTAAACTGACTCACTGCTTTTATATTAAAAAAAAAAACAAAAAACATAATATGAGTGGTCTGTGGACGCTGCAGAACGCACTGCGTGCTACAATACACACAAGCCTCCCTGCTCCCGACGTATACAGATGTGTCAGTCCCTGGATGACGCAAACAGTCAACGTGCTTGGCTGCTAAACAGACGTCCGAGTTCACTCAGAGCCACCTTGGAAGAAAAGCCTAGTGATCTACTTCCGAAAAATGAGCCACAGAACACCCTATGAAGCACAGTTCTACTATGACACCGGTGGGGTCGCCATGAATTGGAATCGACTCAATGGCAACTAATACTAGTGTGTGTGTGTGTCTATGTGTATATACATGTATATATGTATAAGAACCCCTGTCAAAAGGCTACAACAGTGTTTCCTAGTTAAAAGGCAAGACAGGTACCGTAAACCCTTAACATCCACGTTCTTCTAACAGCAGGAAAGGCAAAGAGCCGACAGAAAATTGCACTTACAGGTAATTCATCTTTCTGGTTCCACACTCCAGTGCACTGCCTCTGTTCGATCACGGCTTTGATATTAATTAAAGCTGGCAGCGCCACACAGCCTGCTGAGAAACTGAGAGAGCAGAAGCGTCAAGGCCGGACGAGGTGGCAGACCGTTTGGTCCAAGGAGACGTCAGTTCCCACACTCCACGTGCTCATGGCCCCGACCACTGGGCACAGCACAGACCCCTCTGCTTTGCCAAAAGCAAACCCAACCATTTCCACTACAAGAAAATTAACTTGTTTTCCGTCTCCCCTGCCCAGGCCCACTGGTATGTTTCCTGTAGATACTGAAAAACAACCCCCATTTTAAAAAAAAACAACAAAACTAACTTCACTAAATAAATCTCACCAATACGGGAGAAATTAGTCTATACTGTAATTTCTTAATAAAAATATTTAGATAATAATTACATATTCAGTATGGCTTTACCACAAAAAAAAAATACAAACATCATTTTTATTTTTAATATTAACTAAAACTGCCATTTTTCCAGTAGGGTGCTTACTTGAAGCTTAATTCCTCAGTAATTAGAAAAATAAACAGTTCTATACATAAAAAAAGGATGAGGAGCTGCATCCACTGTTGAAAGGGAGACTCCACCACTCAATGAAAGAAGCAGGAAACATGTGATTGGAATAAGCAAGGATGGGAAATAACTATTGTTTTTCCAAATACGGTGGCTTTAGCATCAAGTCTGAAAGGGAAGAGATGTTCTTACATAGAATTTGTAGTGAAATGAGTTCCTTTATGTGGCCTTTTGCCTTGGCTCTTTGGAAACACAGTTTTTTGAGAGATTCTTCCCCTAAGCCCTGAGGAGTTACCTATGCCCTAGTTTTGTAACCCAGAGTTTAACCAGGATGATTGACATTTCTCCTGGGTAAGCTGTAAACAACTTGTGGTTTGATACTTTTTGTCAGGCCCTGGGCTGCAGCCTACCTGATTGGTATGCACTTTGCAGGGATTGGTCAACAGACCATGCAAACGAAGTATCTGTAGCCTACTGTGCAAATGAAGTGCCTGTGGGCTACCAAGAGGGGATTGGTCAGTTTATGGTCCTGGTGGGAGGGCTGTGTCTTGAAACTGATGAGGAGTTTGTGTATATAAGCAACTAACCCCACCGAGGTTTTAGAGACAGAAAGAACCAGGACGAGAAGCAGCAGGAAGAAGCAAAAAGAAAGAAGAGAGAACAGAGAGAGAGAGAGGAGGCAAGGAACCCCCTAAAACAGCTGTAACACGGGTCAAGGACTGTAACAGTGAAGACAGTGAGAGGCCCAGAAGGGGCACAGAGGCAGAGTCAGTGGCGACAGGGCCGGAAGGGGTCCAGTGGCAGAGATGGTGGTGACAGACGGCAGGGCCAAGAGGAACCTGTCCTGTTGGGGGCCGACAGGTGCCTGTCCGGAGAGGGCTGAGAGGAGGCCTGCACAGCCGAGAGGAGCTGAGAGAGCTTCCTGCACTGAAGATGAGAGACTGTCTACATGCTTCCTGACCCTGAGTTGTAGCCTGCTGACCCTGATCCTGAGTTATACCATTACCTCCTTAACCTCATAACCGTAAGTATGGTTTGTGAGTTCTGTGTGGCCACCGCAATGGATTATCAAACCCAGTAGAGAAGCAGAGTGCCATGGGAGGGAAAGCTGGTATCAGAATTGGTAAAAAAAAAAGGTTGGAGAGTGGAGGTATGTCTGACTTCCACCTCATAGGAATCAGCTTTGGGCTCACAGTGGTCATTATCTCCCCTGAAGTTAAACAGGTTCTGATGACACTACTACCACCACTCCCACCATTTTACAGAGTTCTTCATTGAACTGTACATATGACATAACACCTTTCCTATTACTTCTCTAACAGGCCATATGGCATCATACTTAAGTTTATATTCCTTAAAAAATGCATTCTAAGGCATATGATTACTAGAGTACTACTAATGATTACTAGAGTAGTACTAATCAAAATGTGGTAATTTTTAATGTTTCATCAAGTGAAACTAGCATTTTTTAAATTGCAAGTATGTGGTGGTGAGGAGTCCCACGAGTGCTGTGGAGTTTGGTACCACTGCCCCTACGTGTGCTAAAGGTCTAGCAGTTTTACCCACCATTGCTTTTCCCCATCTGTGCAAATGTCAACACAGTGGAAAAGGCTCTCAGGGACCCCCAGACTACACTTTGAAAACCGATGTCCTAAAACTATGTGTCACCGCCACGTATGAAGATCTCGTGAAAACCAACTGCATTCTGTTATCAAGGCACACCTGGAAACTCAGAATGACAAAGGTTCTCTCTGCGTCAAACATCAAGAAGCCAGCTAACAAGTTGAGAACTGACAATGTGGTGCGTATTTCCGTCACAAACAGTTGACTCCTGTACCTGACACTGAGAGGGGACTCCACGGAGAGCCCCAGGAGGGCACAGGCATCCCGTGTAAAGATGTCACAGATGTCAGCCCACTGGTTTGCGTCGAGCAGGTGAACATATGGTGAGTTCTCAATCCCTTGCCTCAGGTACACAAGGCTTCCCATCAAAACCTGAATGTCTGAACAAGAGAGGTGGCAATGAGGAGGTGTGACTAATCACACCTGAAACACAGCTTGCTTGCAGGTAGTAGGCTAAGAAAAGGCAGATATACTCTCAAGTGCTATAGCCTAAAACAATTAACTATGTCTTTTAAAATTCTGGTCACTAGGTTTGAATTCTCTCCCCACCCCAAATTAAAAAAAAAAAAAAAAAATGGAAAGAAAGTGGAAGAAAAGGAAAGCACTAAATGCTGAACTTACAGTTTTTATTCTTACACACAGAGTAGTATGATTACCATCATCTAGAAGGGTAAAAACTAGGTCACAAACAGAACCATCACATATCCTTGGCTGTAGACCATACTGACACCTGGAGCTGGCGGCTGCCACCCTGGCTCAGACACTTAGCTGTGGCTCTCTCCTGTCTCCTCTGAGTTTAATGTGGAATCTCAAATACCTGCAGTGTCTCTAACTCTTCATTTAAAAGGGTTTAATGTTTTACTTTGTTCTAGAGCCAGTCAGAGCTTTTCTGTAAGTGACTGTCATCTACAACTGTTTTCGTTTATTAGCAAAGAATGTATCTGGTCTGGTAAAGATAAACTTAAATTCCAGGAGTGGCTATAGCCTGATTTGAAACATTGAAAACATCTGAGTCCAGACTCACCTTTTTGATGATTTAGGGCAAATGGCTGAAAATTTTTAGCATATTGTAATGCCTCTCGCTGATTTGTAGTTCCACCCATTAACAAGCTAATAAAATACAGTCTATGTAGCTTAAATTCCAAGGAGCTGTTCTGGGCTATGAGCATTTCTCGGTTTGATACTGCCCATCTACAGAAAAAGCACAAAGGCGGAAAAATATTTTAAAAACAATTAAGAGCAAAAAAACACAATAATATCAAGAGCATAGGCAAAGTGTTTTCAAAACTGTTTGAAGCTCAGTAGCAAGGAAAAAGAGGTGGGTCTGCCATCCTGAGGATGTCTTTGGTAACGTCAGTCCACAGGCCCAGAGACTTTGTAGAGAAAGTAGACGTAACGCCAGCTACACCTACAAAGGCCCTTCAGCCAGTGAAAGAAGGAAAAAACATTAAGTTAGATAATAATTACATATTTAGTATGGTTTTAAACCAAGACATAGAACAACTCTGTTGTGGCACATGATCTATTTAGAACTGCACAAGGCCACACTTTCAAACAGGTGTCAGCCATGAGAGTCACTATTAAATTCCCTGGATCCACTACTCTTTTCCTGTTAACTGGCCTGTTTACGAATGAATCAGAGATTCTGAAGGGGAACTATTTATTTTAAACTTTTGTTCCATACGTGATTCTGTGCTATTCACTTTGGGATTAAAAACCGTAAACATAGCGATTTCCCTTCAAGGTACCTTCAGTCTAATTGGGCAGCTAAAGCTACAGAAATATCCAACAGTATATCATGACAAAATGATTTGTACAGACATGGAGGGAAAAAACAATAGTCACAGCTCTGAATGCTCTAAATCTCAGTGACTCAGGCCCCTATGGTACAAAAATGTGGGATTACCAATCTTAGCTGGGACTACCAGGTCAGGCCAGCACTAACGTGGAAAAGTACACCAAATGGCTGTTAAAGCCACAATCAAGCATAAAGAAGTGTTACTTTATTTCTCTAAACGAATTAAGATGTAGACGCCGTTAGTATCCTGTTCTTCTGTACCTGGACAAACATCTCCCACCTAACCCAATTCTCCAAGGACCACTAGAATCTGAACTGGGCATGAAGACGAACTCTGAATAACTCTAATCCCAAAAAAGACCTGTCTCTTCATTTGACAACCATCATAACCACCTGCCTTAACTAATCCTTGGAGTCTGGGCGCCAACGCACAGCAGCTTTATCCATGCTGGCAGTGTCCCCAGGTAGTTTATCATTAATCAGTTCATGGCAACTTGACAAACATGATGAAACCAGCCTCTCCTGGCAGGAAGGGTCTTCTTCAGTCTCCCTGTAACTACCATTTTCTTTAAATGAGGCAACTAACTTCAATGCTCTGGCCTGCATGTTGGCCAAACCGATCGGTTTTTTAAAATTTTTTTTTTAACAGTTTTCAATCCAAAGTAAAAGTAAACATTCCATGTAAACCACAGGCAGCTTTCTGTGCCTAGTTTACTTTAAACTAAGAGATGCTGGAAGTGGCATTACCTTGTTTTTCATATTCAATACGTTCGGTGCCAAAGCTTCACGCAGACCTAGGTCTCGTCCTAGCTTTGCTTGCTGTCACCATTTTCAAATCTTCTAATCACATCAGAGTTCACTTCCAGCAACATCCCTTGTTGCTTTGCTGCACTTTCATCTTTGTTAACCAATTCCCTCTCTCGATTATTCATTTTTATAAAAATCACAGGGGTTTACCACTGGGAGATGAACAAGCAAAACAACTCCACGCTTTGCTTCCTGTGTGTGGGCTGATGAACTGAGGCAGTGATCAGTGACTGACAGACTTTGAAAGAAGTGACGTGACTGGTTACAACTGTGATGCACATCTGTTATTTGTGCAGTGACTTGTGGACTGAAGAGTGTCAGAAAAGTTAGTATTGTATGCAACTACTCACAGCTCATATACTGTGGTAACTGGAATCTGGTAAGTGTTGTTGAGGGACTGGCCTCATTAAAAAAACCATAGTAACTGAACTTGGTGCCTACTAGAACTGTGCTCAGTGACGACTGCCCACGGGGTTAATAGAGAAGTCACATAGGAGGGCAGAACACAGAGATCTCAGAGGTGAGAAGTTACTTTATAAAGACAAGGAAGGCCCAGGGTGGCACAATGGAGAAAGATGTAAGTTAGAGAAACTGAGCGAGTTGGTTTGTCTATGGCCCACTCTCCTGAAGAATCAAAAAGAAAAGAGATTCTATTTCTCATCAAGTCCCCTACCCCTCCAGGGAAGGCTGGGCTGGAAAACCAAGGGGTCTGTGCCAAGAGGGTAAGTTATATAAAACTGGGTGAAGAAAACAGTGGTTGGCTAATGGGATAAACTAGAGGCATTTTTCATGGGGTGCAGAGTTAAAGGAGGGAAAAAAAGGCTTGATGAGAATAGAACTGAGGTGGAGAGAGGTGCAGGCCAAGAAGAACATGTAAACATATTCAGATAATCTAATCTAGTAACAGCACTGCCACTGATAGTGACGTGTCCAGGTGACTTAGAGCAGGCCCAGGCAGAAGATATATCCCCTCCACAAAATCAGAAGTTGTGATAGTATCCTCCCAACCCAGGCGCTAGCTAATTTTTTTGCAAAAGTAAAATCAAACATGGATTGAGTAGCTGAGAATAGGTTTTAAAATTTAAGGCTCAAGCTCAATTACCACATTTTCTGCAACTACCGTAACAACCTCTCCAACCACAGAATTTCAGATGTTCTTTATGTGAACCTCTCCTACGGCTCACCTCAATCTATTTGGTAGTAAAGTTTCTGGTCTCTTGAAGGCAGGCACTTTGTCTTGCTCATTGTGTTGCCTACTTTGAATGGAGTATAGTGATAAAGAGCACAGAGGTTAACAGGGACAAAGACATATGAACTTAAATCCTGGCTTGGCAGTGTGAATGTGGGCCATTCGTGACTTAATTCTCTAAAACCTGTTTCCTTACTGTAAGAAGGGACACTTCAAAGGGTTGTGGGCATTAAATGACAGGGTCAGGTAAAGCACTGACTACAAAGACTGGCATGAATAGGCATTCAATAATGTATGTTTATTGAATAGATGAACTCTGACGTAGTACTTCAAAGTCATGTTTTTAAGATAATAATTAAAAGCCAAGAGTTACTTGGTCACTTCCATGTAACACTTAGAGGCACTTTGATTTCTGTAGCATCAACTGTCCGGGAATATGACTAGCTGTATGTTCTGGTTAATCACCTTGAAAATTTTTTTTAAGTTTTCTTAGTTAGAAGTTCACACTAAATATCGAGATATATGATTCATTGAGCAGGGATAAGGGGTAGAAGACAGTCAACCTTAATCAACCTGATAACAACCAAATCCAAAGTCTACAAAGCACATGACAAAAATTTAGCTGCACCAAAAGCTAATGCCACCGCCTACACAGCACTGGAAGACATACGACCAAAAATAAACCAAATACGAGTTACTGAGATACTCAGGAATGGACGTATTCTGGATAATGGCATTTCTAACAGAAAACTTCTGATTTTTTTTTTAAATTAAAGCAAAACAAAGAAACAACTACCCCTATACTATACCATAGCCAGCTAGCTAACAACAGATACAGTTAAATCATAGCTTTACTGTGATTTTTTTTTTTTTTTAAATTTTGCTCCCAAATCCCCAGTGTGGGTCATGGAAGCAATGTCAGCTTTGAAACTATTCCTTGTTAGGATAAACACTGTAGACCAACAAAATGACACCCAGTAACATCACCAATGTCACAATGATCTCTGCTCACTGTCACCACGTTCTCCTAATAAAGAGACCTTTCAGGTCTCTTCCATAGAGACTCTAAAACAATACTACTTACTTAGGTGACTAAGTTAGAAGCAACCCACACCTATACAATTATCCAACAGAAAGAGTAAGCATTAATCACCCTGTCAGGCCTCTGAAAAGACTTGGTACATGACTAATCCATATTTAGAATTTCCTCATCATTCCAAAAATAATTAAAAACAAGATTTCACCTCCATAGTCAGCTGTTCTACCCCAGGAGTCTTACTGACAATATCAGTGTATTTATCTCCTCTCGGAATTTTGTCAGTCTGGGTGATACTGAAAAATATAAGTGCATTTTGCCAGTTCTTACAGCACACTCCTCTACAACCTTTCACAGTATTCCTAACGGCTTACAAATAATGTCTTTTTCTAGTCTTCTTTGGGACTAGACTCTTGGGGGTAAAAGCTGACTTTTAGGGGAATGAATGACGTTTATTTACCCCACAGGTGCAGACAGTGTGGCTACAGCACTAGGCTGGACATTATTAGCAACCAAATCAAAAAAGCTTTTTTAAAAAATTCAGAGAATGGCAGAAATGTCAAGAATCAAAGTTCAGCCAAAACGAGTTATCAGAACCCTATAACTGTGCTTTAAAAAAAAAAAAAACCCGCTGCTGTCGAGTTGATTCCAACTCATGGTGACTGAACATTTCATTTCTGAGATATTTTAAATGGTAATTTCTCAGACATGGATTGAGTCCACCACTGGAAGTATTAACATTTCACTCATCTCAGAGATGGTGTGACTCTTTGTCCTTCTCTTACGTGCTATTTAAAAAAGCACACAAATTATAGTATTATATTTCTGAATCCACTTAAAAAAAAAAACCAACTTTACACAAGGTTTTTGGCAATGCAGAGATCAGTACAAGTGCCTGACAGCTACATGGGGTGAAGAGGCCCCCATGTTAGACAGCACAGCTCTACCGGTTAGTGACTTTTTTTTAAAGTAATTAAATATGGCATTGGCTTATTTATTACCAAGATTCCTACAACAAAATCAAGAGATTTTAATCTCAGAACCTACTATACAGTCACAGTAGTCAAAACAGCTTGGTACCAGTACGATGACAAACACACAAGACCAATGGAATAGAATTGAGAATCCAGAAGTAAATCTATCCACCTGTGGGCAACTTATCTTCGACAAAGGGTCGAAGTTCATTAAAATGGGGAAGAGAAAGTCTCTTTAACAAATGGTGCTGGCAAAACTGGATATCCAATTGCAGAAAAATTAAACAAGATCCATACGTCATACCATAAACAAAAAACTAACTCAAAATGGATCAAGGACCTAAATGTAAAACCTAAAACTATAAAGATCATGGAAGAAAAAATAGG